TAAACTGTAGTAACTAGGTCCTGAAACCATATTTATGTGCTTAAAGAACTGCCAGCTTAACTCCTAGCCTGTGTTGATGTGACTCTGCTTCTGTGCATATATGTAACCAAAGGCATTTCTTAAATATTTAACTTTAAAAAGCAATGATAGCTCATTTTAGATCTCATTTTATTTTCCTTGGTTTTGTTTTTTCCAGTTTCTTCACAACTTTTTTTCTCCTTTTCTTTATAAAGAGACAATTTTCCAATTCTCTCCCAATTTTGTATTGCTTTGCAGTTTCTCCTGTTTCCTCTTGATTGTATTTTTTGGTTTTGGTTTTATTTTCTTTTTTTTTGTTGTTGTTGTTTTTTTTTTTTTTTTTTTTTTCCTCAAGACTTTAGAAATTGTAGATGGTTGTTCATTTTCTCTCTTACACCAGCAGCTGTTTGTAAAAGAAAAATGACAAGTTAGTCACTTCCCTGTCTGTATTGAACTGTGGACAAAAGACTGAACTTGGTGCAGGGAGGAACTGAGTAATCAGCCTTCCTTTACAGCCAGATTCATGTTTAAAAGAATTCAGAAAAATGAATCATTCTAAAAGCTGATAATACACTATTTTGCACCTTAGGAAGTCATTTCAGGCTCCGGCAGATGAGCTCTAGCATCAGCAATTTAAGACAAAACTGTGCCCAACTCTTTGCCCACCCACAGATGAACCTTCTGTAGTGGTGTGTCACCCAGCTTTGTGCTCCCACTCATTTGCCACTGCTCAGATTAACTGAGACTTGTTCCCAAGGAACAGAACAACTAAAATGTGAATGCAATTTTTAAATCTATTGTAGAGATAATATTTACATCTCTACTACTTCTTTAAATTATGATTAAGATCCAAAAGGGTAGAAACTTGGCGATGTTTGAGACACAAGAATATTTCTGTACATCTGGACAGAAATAGGTCTTTAACCTTTATATTTTTTGGTTGATTAAGATCCCTTTGGATTTATACTCATGCTCCACACACTCAGCAGAGGGGCAATTGATTATCTGGGAGGAAGGATTAGAGAAGAAGGACCTAAGAGGAAGAAGTGAATTGTGAAGTTGCAAAGGAAATAAAATAATCTCACCAATATTTCAATCTTTTTTTGCGGTTTTTTTTTTTGACATTTGAAGATTTGCTCATGTACATGAGTTCTGTAAGGTAATTGCTAATGACTTGAGGATCTCATTAGCCCTCTCAGTTACCACTCCAAATGATTTGAAAACATCTAATTCATATAAGTACACTCCAATCTGTCCTTTACTTACTGTGACTTAAGGTCTTATTCTTACATCACTATTTCTAATTGTTTCAGCCATCTGGTCATAGTTGCCTGTTTTGGTGAAAACAAATGCAAAAGGACATTAAATACCTCAGCTTACTCAGTACCTTTAGCCAATAATTTTCGTTTTCTTGGAAGAAGCAGCATGATCCTTTATTTCTCTTTTTTTCTCCACTCTCTACATTGTGCATTGTTTCATTACATACACTTGACATCCTTTGCTGATATCAGCACAGAAGCTTGACTTTTTTGCTTTTATTCATGTAAACTTCTGCTGTATTTCTTCACTGTTTTACTTGAAGTATATTTAGATAATATATGTGTTGGTCAAATTGATTTCATTATTATTTTGATTTTTCCTTCCTAATGGAATAGTTTATATTTGAAACCTCTGGAACTAGCATTTGCTTAAAGAAACATTCTTGCTACCATCAGCATCATCACCACCGTACCACCTTCACTATTATTTTGTCTTGGAAACTCTTCCCAAGAGAGCTCATCAACCAGTTTTTCAAGGTGACTGGAGTAATTTTTCCTAAATCCATTATTTTGAATTTCTGTTAATGCTCCTTATTTTCCTAAAAGTTCTGGACTCTATCACCTCCTAGCCATGCTTGCCCAAGCTACCTGCTACTCTGCATTACTGAAGCTTCCTCCATGGTAGATGTGTTGCACATCTAGAACTCTTCTCTTTATTTTCAATTCTCCTGTAAGCAAGAAGGAGTTCACAAAATTTTCAGCTGATTTTAGACATGCCAGGAGTTTGAGATATCTGTATTACTCTAAAGATATGACTTGAGACAAGTGGACTGTTCTCACCCTTTTGGAGGGCCAGCAAGAGAACAGCATCTAAAATACTAAATTCAGATTAGGCACTGAATGCCACCCTGAGTCCGAAAGCATGTCCCTCCAAATGGATGTTTTAATTTAATTTTATGTTGAAGCTTGTTCTGAATGACTTTGCATTTGTGTGTGAAAAGTCCTGTCCAGTTGATACCTAAAGTAGATAATATTGGGTGTTATCAGATATTTTTGGCCTCCTTCTCTGATAACTGGAAAAGAAGGATGATTTCCAATTATCAGAGATAACTGGATATATGGATCTAGTAGCTAATTCTTTAGCCATTCTTCTCCCTCCTGAGCCAGATATTCTACACCCAATTAATATTCAATTTTTGAATTATCCTCTTGTGTCTCCAATATACTAATTTGTACTTCAGGAGATGAAATAAAATTTCAGGTTCCTCCTTCACTTTCCTGTACCTCTCTGCTTCTTCTGGAAGATACAAAACACTAGCACAAACACATCCACAGTTTGATAAGACAGTATAAAATTAGAACAGCTTTTCTTCATTTTCTTTACCATGACCTTGTATTTCTAATTTAGTTTTTTTCCTAATTTACCTTTACTTTAGAATATTGTCTACTATTGATAGAGAAGGGCTGTTCCAAATGGGCTTTCTGCCTCATGAAAGAAACAAATTGAGTTTCACTTGCTGGAAATTTCTCTGGATGATTTTTTTTCATTCACTTTTGCTTTACAGCAAATATTCTTTAGGGTACAGACACATGAACATTCATATTCATAAATATAAATTAATGAACAGGCTAAATTGCAAAGAATCAGAACATGCTTAGTAAATCATTATTAAGAGCTTTAACATTTTCTTTTTCTCACTGCAGCATTTAAACTAAAGGAGTTCAAAACCCAATAAAAGAGTTTATAAAAGGAGGGTTTTTTCAAACACAATGAGGTTTTGGGGTTGGTGGTTTTTTTGTGTGTTAGTAGCTCTCATGAGAATGTAAATATTTACTTGCATAAACAACAAAACTGGATTCAACTGTTTTTCAGAGAGAAGAATGTGCTCACTTATGTTGTAATGCTTAGGGTAGGTCACCATGGTCACAGATTCTGCCCTCAGAATTTTCTTCACCTTCATAGCAGAAGCAATTCTTCCATATGGAATTGGGGAAAACTGAGCTTATTAACATAGGAGTGGCAGCAAGTGACCTTGTGAGTCACTTTTGTTTATTACATTTCAGTGTCACTGAGAAAGCCACACGATGAATACTAAATTTAAAAAGAAAAATTGTTTGGGATCTGCATAACGAATACAAATGGGAGTAAACTGACAGGACTAAAAGAGTCATACTGCACAGAAAAAAAAATAACAAACAAAAAAACCCTAAAATATAAAATAAAAAAAAGCATACCCCTGCACACTACCTTCCCAGGTAGTTCAGTTTCTTTTGAAGCTATTATTTTTGGTGCAGAAGAAAACTGCTTTTAAACACTGAACCCATTTTACATTCTGAAAATTGTAATTATATGCTTTGTACTTAATATATTTGAGTTAATATCCATAAAATCTGGGATTTCAGAAGAATCAAGGGCTCCCCTTAGGATGATTTAGCTTCCTCTTTCAATAATTATCTGATCTCCTACACTATTCCCTGAACACTATGTACTTCTTCTTCCTCCTTGTTTTCCTTATTTCTTTCTTTACTGTTTTCTCTTTTCCCCCTTGTTATTTCCTTATCATTTCTCATTTTTCTTACCCTGATTGCTTGTTTCTTTTCGTTACTGTGGAAGAACTCCACAATCATGACCAAGATTATGTCTCTTTTACCTTTTCTTAATGGAGCTTGCAGGAAATAATGAAACAGACACAGTTGAAACTAATAAATGAATATCAGAGGAAATGTCTTTCCCACCTTGGATACCACAAAAAGAGATACATCATGGTTCAGAATAAACACGTTTTTTTTTCTTCTACAACCAGGTGTGTAAGACTGTAGAACTTAGATTAACTGAGACCATACCCTTTCCTTGCATTGTGATCAATAATCTGTTAAAAATTAATTTGATGGATTGTTTGTCTTTAAAGAACTACCTTTCAAATCTGTCACACAGTAATAGAGTATCTTCACAGTTTCACAGTTTTTCTCCCTAGTGATATCCAAAGAGGTGCCAGTTTCTGTCTTCTCAGTTAAACAGCTATCACAGAAACAGATACCTCAAGTTAGAATCTCTGTTTTTAGAAAATTATATATTTTGTTATAATATAAGCACATTATAAGGCAATTACCGTCCTAGCTCAGCTCTGACTGAGGCCTCCAAAATAACAATAAAATGTTCTTTGTTTGACTATGTATAAATCTTACCTCTGTGATTTCTCTCTCAGATTATTTTAATATACTGTACTCCACTCTTGCTCCCAATAATGTTTCTTTCCCTGGTTACTACAGCAAAATACTTTTTATTTTTCAGTTCCTAGTCTGAAATCTGCACTTCACTTATGTCCCATGATGAAATCTGATTGTGCTGATGCCAGGCAGCATAAAGACCCACTTAGCTGATTGCATCCATATCCACCCCTTCAGATTTAGCAGGGTTAGCAGCTTATGAAGGATCACAGCCTCTCTCATCAAGTGAGAGAATATGTATTAACCAGACAGAGTTTGCTCAAATGTAGGAATGAATTTTAATTGTACTCTGAAGGAATGAAGACACATACAATCTGAGCTGGTAGAATACGAATCCTACATAAATACATCAAATTTCAAAATTTTCCACTCTGCTTAATCTTGAGTAAAATCCAGAGTCTGTCAAAGTTGCTAAATATTCATCATTATTCTGATAAACTGTGAACCAATGTTAACTTTCCCTGACAGGACATGAGACAAGACCACAAACCTTACCTGTGGGCTTTGAGTATAGGTGGAGTTAAGCTTGACTCTTCAGAAAGTGACTGAAAGCAGGGATCCAATCCATCCTCCACATGAATACACCACAAGACTTTTCATCTTTTTACAGATGTGATACTGAGAACTTGGGGAAAATTATAGGATATAGCTATAGAAAGAAACAGCAGTACAAAACTGCATTGAATGTGGGTTTAAAAATATTACATCCCCAAGGAGAAACAGTCTTCATGGTAACCATCCAAGAAATTTGAACTTGAATTTATTTTCCCTCTACTTTTACAGATTCCTGGGAATTAGTTTAGTTAGGAGAGGTGGATTAAAAGTAGACACAGCATATGCCTTTTACTGTGCAGATATAAATCTTTCTAACATTAATGGAGGTTCTGAAGACACACCATCAAGAATACATAGAGACTTATGCCAGAAAGCTTGGAGCAAAATATAAGTGTATTAGCAAAATGTACAGACAGTAAAATGAGACTATTAATTATAAATTTCTTCTTTCTTGGAATCAGTTTTTAACAACCATAGTATAAGTATATTGCAGAAACCAAAGCCATCCTAACATTCACACATTTAAAAATGCTTAAAAATAAGAGTAAGGATAAATATTAACTTTGAGATAAAAAATAAAATAAGCATTCATTGAACTTCTAAGACAACAACTTCATTCACAAGTTTTGGGCATTGGACAATTAATGAAAACTTACACCTACAGCTGGTCATAAATTAAAACTAAAGATTAGACATATGGTCTTCTATGTGGCTACACTACTTGTAATCTGAGGACTAAGGTTTGTTTATTAGTCTATAATCTGGTTAGTTGTGATTTAGGGAGAAGCCCTAAATTCAAATTAGCTTTTGCTGTCTGGAAATCATATCACTGACTCAGTTTTCTAATAGTATTGTGCTTAAATAGATAAACAAGATAAAAGAAAAATCAGGCAGTCCTTAGTCCAGAACAGTAACAAAAAGAGGGCCTAAATCTAACTGCTCTTGAAGGTCAACATATCTTTGCTTATTTATTTACAATTTAACAAACTATGACATAAAAAGCTCTCATTGAAGCCTGTTGGGAGTATACTGAAAAGTAATGATTTTACCTTCACAGTTAAATGCTCTATAAATGGCACTGACGTCCTCCCGCAGTTAAGAACCAAGTTAAGCAGGGGTGTTGTTAGTGGTGATGGAAGGAGACGAGCAAAAAAACTCAAGCTCTCAACCCACTATTGAAATTTAAGTGAATCCAAATCCAGTATTTGCAAAGAATCTTTGCCTGCTCCAATAGAAGTATTCCCAGCTGAAGGCTGCAAGGGGCAGTTGTCTTTTTTATTATCATTATAAACAATATTACAAGAAAAAGAACAAAAGTTGGACAGTAAGATAAATACAAAAATTACAACTTGAAAATAATTCTGTATTTTGCTACAAACTGCTTAGAAATTTCACTTGAATCTCAAATTATTTTCTTTTGCTATTTCATCTTGTTCCTGAATAATTTGTGAAAAAGTTGAGTGTGACGACATTATTTGTAAGCCATGTCACAAAAATCACCTCATAAACCCCAATTCTGACAATATTTATATGTAACCCTCTGTCTGGCAATTTATCCCAACCGTACTATGTTATTTATCTAGCACCAATAGCCTTCAGGATTTATTACAGGCATGCAGGAAGACGTATGGGTAGATTCTTCTCTCATTTATCCTAGCATAAATCAGAACCACTCAAGTCACTGGAGTTCTACTTGTTTAAAGGTGAACTAAAAATGCTGTGTACCAGACCCAAACTTACCAGTAAGTTTTCTACCTATTAATGCCAGACCGTTTCTATTTCCATTATCTAAATTCAACTTTTTATTCAACCTCAGTTGAGTTATTTAAACCTTTTAAGAAGCATCGAGGCTTTTTGCCATTGTCTTGACACCTTGGACTCAGACATTATCCATATTTCTTTCTTGAAGACATACTTATATCAATGGAGTAGTTCCAAATAGCATTCATTGTGTCATTTTTTGAATTTAGGAATATTTAAAAACCGTTAAATATTTATGGCACTTGCACATTACTCAGTTCAGCAGCCATGTCTGTTCCGAACTTGAGATATTCAAGGACATTTGGGAAACTGAAACATTTAGGGCATTTATGGAGCTTCAGTTTAGAAAATTTTGAGGTAAAATTATCAATATTTATCAAAATTTTCAAAACCTGCAATGGCATTTAAGCTCAGAATATCAGTCCTTTCTTTGTAACTATGATGACAGCATCCTTTAAACCATTTTTTGGTGTCTATGTATTACTTGCAAAGCAATTTGCAGCAGCGAGGACACAAGGATTATTGGTGTGGTAGAAACCACAGGGCTTCTGAAAACAATCATGCAGGAATTTGAGCTTTTCTCCATGAAAAGGAAGCTGGATCAATAACCCACTGAAGGGTATCTACACTAATGCACGCAGGATGGGCAACAAACTGGAGGAACTGGAAATTGTGGTGCAGCAGGAAGATTTTGTCATCACAGAAATGTGGTGGTGACTCAAACAACTGCAGTACTCCCATGGATGGCTATAAACCCTTCAGAGGGGATAGGCAAGGAAGGAGAGACAATGGGGATGCCCTGTAAATCAGGGAGTGCTTTCTTTGGAGCCTGGAGATGCTAGTGTTGAGTGTATGTGGGTAAGAATCAGGAGGAAAACCAACAGGGCAAGCAAGTATCATGGTGAGATTTTTGATCTGCTGGAGAGCAGGAAGCCTCTGCAGAGGGATTAGGACAGGCTCTGAGGCCAGTGGCATGAAGTTCAAATGGGCCAAGCACCAGGGCCTGCACTTGGGTCAAAACAATCCCAAGCAGTGCTACAGGTTGGGTACAGAGTGGCTGGAAACCTGTCATGGGGAAAAAGGATCTGGGGATGCTGGTCAGCAGCAACTGAACAGGAGTCAGTGTGTGCCGAGGTGGCCAAGAAAGCCAATGGCACCTGCTCTTTATCAGCAGTGGTGTGGCAGCAGGACCAGGGCAATGATTGTCCCCTGTACTCAGCAGTGGTGAGGTCACACCTCGATTCCTACGTTCAGTTTTGGGCCCCTCACTGCCAGAAGGACATTGAGGGACTGGAGCGTGTCCAGGGAGGTGGGGAAGGGTCTGGAGGACAAGTCTGAGGACGAGCAGCTGAGTCAGCTGGGGGTGTTTAGCCTGGAGAAAAGGAGGCTCAGGGGCGTCTTTCTCACTCTCTACAACCCTCTGAAGGAAGGTTGCAGTGAGGAGTCAATCTCTTCTCCCAGCCCACCAGTGGCAAGATAAGAGAAATGGCCTGCAGTCATGCCAAAGGTGGTTTAGATTTGGCATGAGGGAAAATTTCTTCACAGGTGTGATTGGCCATTGGAAAGGCTGCCCAGGGAAGTGGTGGAATCACCGTTAGCAGTATCAAAATATTGTGTGGATGTGGCACTTGGGATGGTGTTTAGCATGTGACAGTGCTGGGCTAACAATCAGTGATCTCGGAGAATCTTCCAACTTTACAGCTCTGTGAATTTATGATTCTATAATTCTGTTATAGTTCAACAGAAGATAGAATGGGCTCTTCATGTTAACAGATAGCTTGTTTTGGATCTGCTCAGGGAACAGCAGGAGTGAGTGCTGAATGGGTGGAGGTAGGTGGAGACTGAGTAGAGTGGGCAGGAAAAGGCCACTTGTTTTCCCAGAGCCCCAGGGACCCCAACAGAGTCTTGAACTGCTTATTTAGTGATTCTTCACACAGGGAAGAGCAAGTTCATATGTTTGGTGACAATAAGGACTGAAATAAAACAGAATTCATTTTGTGATTGCAAGACTGAAAATCCTACACATGATTAAACAACTTATGGAAAAGGACATAGAAATGAGAAACATTTAAATCAATCTGTTTAGAGGTTGCTTGTCTTATATAACTACCATATTTTGCACACCTCCATGTCTGGCATTTATGTAATTATTTCAGGAAACAATTTGCATAATCAAAATATTTGCATATGCTCACCTTAAGCAGAAGGATATATTTCATGCTGGTGAATGTGTCAGCCTGTTTAAAAGTGGGTGAATGAAGCCTACAACTAGAAATCCAGTGAGCTCATGTTCATTGTGCCTTCCACTCTTTCCCATTCTATTTGTAATGGTGAAAACTACAAGGATCTTGAAAGCACAGGGAATGTGAAAATCTATTTTCATTTGTCTCCCCACTCTGTGTTAACTTTACATGCTGCTATTTCACACTCCTTAAATGTCTTCTCTTCTTCATACTTGTCCTTATCAAGGGTTGTCACCCTGTTCTTCACATCTTGGTTATCATACATAGCACTAGTTACTGAGTTAAAATCATCCCAACAAGCATGCAGTATGGACTGCAAAACATTTGAAGTGTACATAGCAGCTCTTCTCAGAGCTTGATCAAAATTTACCTCTGTCAGAGGATACAGGAAATGGCCTTGCTTTAACTTTGCCTCTTATATTTAAAAGGTCTTTGCAGTGGACCTGGAGATTTTGTTGGCTTTCAGCATAGGTGTGAAGTCTTATTCTAGTATGGCATTAGGATTTCATGCCCTTGGTGAAAATGAAATGATCATTATCCTCCATGTAAACAAGGGCATGATCTGCCAGCTGTAAGTCTGCAAATGGAATTCTTGTCTTCTAATTCTAGTGTTTGCACTATAATCCATTAGCTTTTCCATGTGCTTAGAATAAAATTTGGGATCAATGCAGCCATGCAAGAATGAAGGGATAAAGGCTGTTTGTGCACACTTTCCCTCATACCAACTCTAAAAAAAAAGCCTAGGGATGGAAAGGAAAAAAAGGTAAACCCAAAATTTCTTGTCATTCTACTTATCCATCAGAAGTCTGCAGAAGGACCTTGCATGAAACTGTGTGTACAACCAATTGACAAAATCTATATTAGCTTGAGAATTGATTTTACTGAAATGCATGAGCATGCTTTCAATGGTATTTTCAATAAAATTTATTGGGAAGAAAACATCAAAATTTAAATTATTAGGTGCATTTCACTGATACTTGTACAGTGGATTTGTAGCATACTGTACCCCTTTGGATTTTGGC